AGACACTACAACAAAAGCATATGGGATCACCAGATTCATCACAGAATTTCCACAATCAAGCCACCGCTAGCTCGTCCGAATCCTGAAACAAATCCCCTGTATATACTCTGTGACAACCTCAGTACACATCACGAACCCGAACACAGTCCCTGCCAGCGTGTTATATTACATAATATTAATACATAGACACCAAACACAAGAGCAAATGGCGTCAGCAGACTCACCACAGAGTCTCCGCTATCACCGTCAGCCTTCTAGTACAGGTCCATGTCAGCAGAACTGAAGCTACCGGTAGGCTGTAGCGTGTCCGACTGCCGTAACAAATTCCGTACGTAATCTGTGACGACCTCCGGAGTCCGTACACATCACGAACGCGAACACAATCCCTGCCCACTTCTAATTACAGATTCTGAAACTATCATAAATAAAATCATGGCATTACTTCTCTATATTACATTCAGCAGACAGACTCTCAACCTCCCCTTTTTCGCTGACCTCCCACTCGTCTCTAACGCGCCAAGCCTTACGTTGCTCGAAGTGTTGGCTGCCTTCCTGCCTTCTTCCCCGGAATAGAACGTACGGTAACCATCGCTGTGTGTACACCGGGTATTGCCCCGAACACAGCGATAACGACCCGTGCGTTCTATTCGGGGGAAGATGGTGGAGCTGTGCTTCTTAGCATCGCTCCCAGACGAGATCCCAGATCTGGGGCGTAGAGTCCACTCGAATAAATCCCCCTCCCTTGGCTGCCCTGCCTGGGCTCACCTTGATGTCCGTGACCATCGACAGGGTCTGCTGAGTCTGCTCTGTGCCGCACGTGCTGTACATTGGCATAATGAAGCTGTCGCCGAATTCGAAGCTATCCTCAAAGGGTCCCTTCATAGCGCGCTTGCTGCGAACCGTCCCGCGCTGCCCAGAGAAGTAATACGATGCGCTAATCGACCCAGACACGCCTCCATCGAGCTTTGCGTACCCGCTGACACTGATTGACCCCACCCCTACGACGAATTCCGGAGGATAACTGAGGCGTACGGACGTTATGCACTTCCTTTTCCGATGCGCCGCGCTCTTGTACGTCGTAGCAAGGTGCTTGGTGAATTTCAGCCTCATCGCCTTCCCATCGTCGGACATAACGAGTTCGACACTCCCGGGAGGACACCCGCTGCCTGCGTAGCTGAAGTTGTCAATCTTCACCGACCCAGGTGGCGGCTGAAGGGCAGATACCTGGCCGGGGCAGGCCAACTGCGTGATCATCAGCAGTACAAGCAGCAGCAGCAGCCACCGGGCCGTCTGTGTAATCGGACAGAAAGATCGAAGCAGCCTCTGCTCCATCTCCGCCGCCTTCGGTCTGTGGTCGTCGTGACCTGCTGAACAGACTGAAGTGGCTATGGGGTTACCCAGAGGTTGTCCACGTGTCACTGCCAAGGAGGCCTCCCTTCTCGAGCTCCACGAAGCTACTACACCCCTCACACTATGCAGCGTTTAAGACAAAAGACGCCCCTCGCTTTCTCCACTTCCAATCTCTTCTTCCATTCTAACCTCCAGAACGGGTCCCTTTATGAGGAATAGAATGATACTCCACGGGGAGTAGAACGGGATAATCATCCAAGACCTTAGTTCAGTGGGTACACCCGTGAACTGTTGAAATACAGACCTGTGTTCGAATCCGGATGATGGAACTTGACGAATAAAACCCACTACTAATAAATTGCTTGGGGCCGGTCAGCTCAATGGCGCCCACGCCAAAACGTTTTCGGTTTTGGGCGCCCAAAGTTTAGCCGGTTGGTACTACGGGCCCAATGACTTGCATGTGGGGTATTACAGGCCCACTCCTCGCTCCAAGGGCCATACCGGATCATGAATCTGGATCATACTAGAGCCAGATTCATTTTCATGTAAAAGAGGCTGGCTGTGATACCGCTGAAGTATCGAATGAGACCCACTTACTCGATTTTGAAAAAGAAGGGCCCTGCCGGTTCATGAACCTGGCGCAAAAACAGTGCCAAATTCTTGAACCGGTAAGAACTGGCCCAGGGAGATGTGGTCAGGGCGCGCCATTCACCCAGGGGAAAGTTGTTTGGCCCGGTAGTACCAAACGGCCGAGTTTCGGGCGCCCAAAACCGGAGAGGTTCTTCTTTTCTTTTTTTTTTTTTGTTGGGAGAATTTTTTAAATGCCCGTGAAGTTTGCGTTTATTTGCGATTTACCCCTCCGACGGCTGACTTACCCTGATTTGCCCCTCTGACAGTCATTCAAGTTTCCAAGAAACCCCTGGCGTCGTTTGGACCTGAGACATTTTCAATATGCCCCTACCGGTACCCACGCCAAATTTCCAGTTTGCCCTTACGGGTACCGCACATCTCTTAGGCATGCCCCTCTGGTCGTTGCTGGCAGTAGCGGCTGTTCCCCTGGCCCTGGGAGGCTGGGAGATGTGCTACCCAGGCTTGTGTGTTGTCATATCCGCTATACCCTCAAAAAAAGCATGACTGTGCCAGACTGTTTCATCGGACTTTCACCGACTCATCAGGAGGGTGTGTGTGTGTTTGTGTGTGTGTGTGTGTGTGTGTGTGTATGTGTGTGTGTGTGTGAGAGAGAGAGAGAGAGAGAGAGAGAGAGAGAGAGAGAGAGAGAAAGCCAGAGAGAACAGGTAGGCCTCAAGATCGAATGAATATACTGCTAGAACATGGAAATATACACTATACACTTCCACATGTGTGTGTGTGGGTGTGTGTGTGAGAGAGAGAGACACACAGAGAGAGAGAGAGAGAGAGAGAGAGAGAGAGAGAGAGAGAGAGAGAGAGAGAGAGAGAGAGGTG